ATCATACAAACATGCGACCTCACCTCTCGTCTCTGGAAGCAGCGGTTGAGGTCGTTCATGTCCGCCAAGATGTCGGCCAAGAAAAACAAGCAGAACTGAAACTTGTAGCAGGTGACAATCTCGTACGCCTTGTGATTGTGCTCCCAGAGCAGAACAATGCAAGCGCCGAGGACCTTGCACAGCCTGGCCACCGCATCTCCTCGAGACAGCCACCGCACCGTGTGTATGCCTTGGACTTCCAGATTGGTCTTGTAAATCACACGCTGCAGGTACTTGAACCGCTGACTCCACACGCTGGAGTTTCCGAGCAGAGTCGCCACAGTGCGCACCACCTTGTCGACCATGTCGAGATCCGGGTTTGACTCAGCGGCGTCCTTCACAGCCAACGCCTCACTGTGTAAAGCAGGGAACAAATATTATGGTTTGTTAGTAAACCAATCATCGTAGATAACATGCTACAATATTGATCAACTCACATACCGATGGGCGATGCAGTGGCATGAGAACAGATGAGGGACGTGTTCACGTAGACGCGCCACCAATCCGTTCTCTCTCCCGGTCATGACCGACGCCCCGTCCGTGCTGATGCCGACGATCTTGGACACATCGACAGCAGCGGAGCGAAGATGGTTCAGCAGCACCTCAAACAAGGACCCTGCATCACACCGCTCGACCGTCAGCAAAGTGAAAAACTCGCGTGCAACTTGGCGGTTCTTCAGATATGTAAGGTACACAATCATGTGTTTCCCTCGCGTGCGGTCAGTGCTCTCGTCGCACTGGATGCCCAGGAACGGTGATGCTAAGACGTGGTCCATCTGCACCCGGGTGAGGTAAGTGCTCATGCTGTGGACCATCTGCTGGAAGCCGTAGCTGCAACAAAGGACAGAGAAATTATTGTCAAAATCATATTTATTATAACTGCATGAAGTTCTAGCTGTAGTGTAGTTATTAAATTTGTAGGTGGTGCACCCCTTCATGTGTTCCTTTGCTATATGTATCTCGAATCCTATAGTGAAACCTCATTCTCCAATTTCTCTCTCACAACTCACTCGACACTCACCCTAGGTGAAAACCCGCTCAATACCTAGTTAAGGGCCTAGGCTACTAAGCCTAGGCCCCTCACCTTTCAACTTAATCTACTTTAAGTTCGACATGGTATCAGAGCTGTTTTCGTCCTGGCCTGTGGGCCCGCGTTACTCTTCCGCTGCTGAGATTTTCCGGTCGCGCGCCTAGGGCGCGTGACGATTTTAGTTTTACTTTGTCCCGCCCACGGGCGTGTGACTCCTACCCTGCCCGTCGCGCGCCCCGTGGCACGTGACGGTGCCCTTTATCTGCCCATCGTGCGCCCCGTGGCACACGATGGTGCCCTGCTCGTCGTGTGCCCCGAGGCACACGATCGGGCCCTTTTATCCTACCCGTCGTGCGCCCCGTGGCACTGGCCCGCGACGGGCCTCTCCGCCCCTGCACTCCCTGCTGCCGCCCCTGACCCATCTGCACCGACGCCTCTTCGCCGCTCTGCGGCTTTCTTCCTTCCCACCCCCCCCTTTCTCTTGTCTCCCTGCAGCCGTGGGGAGGAGGGTATGGGGGTGGAGGGTGTTGGAGCGTGGGGTCAACTCTCTCCCTTCCCCTCCTCCTTCTTTCAGTCCCACCGCTGCAGCTGCCGCTGGGGGGGGAGGGTGTGAGGATGTGGGTGAGCAGGGGGAGTGGTACCGGGGTGGCGGGTGTGAGGCAACAAGCAGCCGTCCCTCCACCTCTCCTCTCTTCCCCCCTTCTCTGCTGCTTCTGCAGCAGTGTGGGGGAGGGGAAGGAGGAGGGTGAGGAGATGGAGGGGGTAACCTTTCAAAGTTAGCCCGCCTGCAGTACCTGCTGTTGCTTGTTTTATTGCTCGTTGGTGTACCTCTGCAGGTTGTGCTCGACACTTAGCTATTCCTGCATGCAGTTACGGGGGGATGTCAAAATCATATTTATTATAACTGCATGAAGTTCTAGCTGTAGTGTAGTTATTAAATTTGTAGGTGGTGCACCCCTTCATGTGTTCCTTTGCTATATGTATCTCGAATCCTATAGTGAAACCTCATTCTCCAATTTCTCTCTCACAACTCACTCGACACTCACCCTAGGTGAAAACCCGCTCAATACCTAGTTAAGGGCCTAGGCTACTAAGCCTAGGCCCCTCACCTTTCAACTTAATCTACTTTAAGTTCGACAATTATCAGTACACGATAGTCAAGCAAGTTGTTTGACGTGCATGTTTAAATTTGCAAGCAATTTGAACCGTCACTAACCGCGTGAGATAAACGCCGTACGACTGCCGGGGAATGTCTGGCGTGTCCTGCTACGCAAGATGCCGCATCAGCTTAGGAAACATGCTAATCGGCGCGTCGCACTGGCACAGGAACTGAGTCGACCGCATCAGCCGTATCGCGCGGCGGCCCTCGACGTCGGAGTTGATGAAGTCCGAAATCACCTGCTGCCCCTCGCGGATTCCCGCCGCAATCTTCATCTGGCGGTCCACCGCCGCCATGTGTGCCTCCGTATGCTCGTGCGCCCGGAACGCCTGCGTCTGCAAGTCACGGCCTCCGTCGTCTCCATGCATGGTGTACCTCGTGTTCCCCTTACCGTACGACATGCAGATGCTGCACTTCACGTACGAGAAACCGTCCTTGGTTTTCCCAAACACAAGCCAGGAAAAGTATCCAGCCCACTTCGTCTCGTAATTAATACTCGCCTCCAGGTACATCTGCTCTCGCAGCTGCGTCTTGGTGAGTGCCGGCGAGCCGGTATCCGCGCGCACCGGGATGTCACCTTCTTCCGGCAGCTCAGCTTCTTCCTGTGCAGGCTCATCGGGCTTTTCCGGCGGTGCAATACGGCGGCCTCCCACTAGCAGAGTACTCTGCGCCCACTTTCCAGATCGCGCACGCTTGGGAGCGGAAGTAGCCGACGGCGGGCCAACGGACACCCGCACCGTGCTTGGAGTAAGACTGGGCGAGGGCGGTGGAGGATTTTTGCTGCAGCCAGCAACAGCCGGAGGGAGAGTGAACGGGACGGGAATAGGAGAAGCAGTAGGAGTAGGGGTTACTACAAGGGCAGAATCGTGAACGGTAGACCTAGGCGGTTCAGGTGTGACGGGAGCAGCCGTAGATCTAATAAAATCTAGCCCAGAGCGGGGAGCATCCGAAGCTTTCTCCGGCTGGGACGGCGCTGTTGTTTTCGCTCTTACAGGCGGCTCGTCGGGGCCAGTGTCCGGAGCAGCTTCGTCGGCCGGCATGGCCTCCATTGGTGGCTAAACTGAACGAGAGAAAAATGGGACAATGAAGGCACGTAATGGAAAGAACACACTAGTGAACAAAGGAACGTTGGCTGCTGGTATGGGGAGGGAAGGGGAGGTTGGAGATGGCGGGAGCACGAAACCACCGCGCCGCGATTCCACGGACTTGATGGCAACATTCCTAGATGAATTCGTCCTTGCATTCAAGGCCGAATTCATTCACGGACTCCTTGGCTGCCACCGCATGCTGTCTACAGGCCATTCTGGCCAATGGCAGACACATGCTGTGCACTGTGCGGTGCGCGTGGCTGCACCGTCTCATTGAGTTGGCTGCGTTGGCGTGGTTGCCAGCTGTGATGTACAGCAGCACGTAAGTGGTGTCCTTTGTCGGTATTACGTCACTCACGGGCGCGTGAGTGATGTACCTCACATGGGGCCACTCGAAGAAATGATTACGCACAAGGGGGTTATCGAAACGAAACTTCTAGGAAACTTCGTCCCAATACCCTCGCATTCAGGGTCCACGGAACGCATACTCTGCATTGACAGACTCCGCAAGTACACTACCCTGAGCCTAGTTACAAGAATTCAGAGTCCGTTCAGTAGCTACTCTGATAGGATCAGAGTTCACAAAATACAAAACCTGTGTTTGCAGGGACCACCAAGTCATAAGCCTGTAATCACCCTGAAATCAGGGTAATTACCCTGATATCGTCAGCCCTGCACCCGATACTGAAGCACAACAAAATGAGTATGAAGTCGAAAAGGCGCGTACCACATCAAACCGCAACTGTAGGTTACGAGCTGTAACCGCCTGGAGGTTACGTAACAGCAAGCGACGCTTCAGTGAACAGTAACCGCCTCGATAGTCGAAACGTTACGCGTCTCGATAAACATAACCGTTTCCTGTAATCTATCTTTTCTATATATTCCTGTATGCTCTTTGCTTTAATCAATTACTTGTTCTCACATACCAGCACAAGTACATTCACTCAAGACTTCCGCTGTGCTACTCTAGCACCTATTAGCCTATTCTCTGCAAAGATCCTAAGGCTGAAATCCTCAGCCCAACATTCAGCATAAATCTCTTAATTCTCTGATATACGTTAGTCTACGAAACATAAACTCGTTCATTTTGCGTGTCCGACCATTCGTAATTTTCTCAAAACATGGCGAAACAGATAAAATTAAACTTTTTATGCAATGATAGTATTTTGATCTTGTGGTATTATTTTCGTTCACTCTTTCTTGGAAGTGCAAGCTTTGGTTCTATCCGATGATGGATTATCAATATCGAGGCACTTGGCAAGCATGCTTTGCCTAATCGGTGATGTCTTATTGATGGAGGAGTTATTGTCCTGCTCTTGACAAATGGAGGAGCCCCTCCCCTCTAGTGTTGAGGGTTCCACTAATCGGGCGCTTACGGTATTCCCAATGTACGGTAAAATATTATTTCCAAAACCCACTCACCAGACAATAAGCAGTTCGTTCTTACATGGTGCAAAACCTGTATAGGGGATGCCACAAATGAAACCTATGGGCATGACACGACTGAAACTAACGGCATGACACGACTGAAACTAACGCTCGGATAGGTACATGTATGCCCACTTCGTGGTGAGACATTGGAAGGAGCTGGTCATGAATGCTAGATTGTGGTAAAGACCACACAGCGGCGAGCCTGCAGTGAAGACAAGCAGGAAAAGAAATATGTGGGTTACTTCTAGAACAGTCAAATGCAGGGACGAACGCAGAGACACAGAAGTGGCAGCAGGGAGCACGGGATGAGAGGTGCAGACGTGAGTTGGACAGCAGCTATATAGAGCAGACGCTTGAAACACTGATCTGGTACGTAACGGTTGTTGTGTTCCGAGCAAGAACCTCCTTTAAATGCCCTTACCTGGGGAAACTTGCGCTTGTTGTCCCCGTTATTGAGCCACCCAGCCCTCGCCAGGAGAGCGTTGTTCATGTACAGAAGAACGCACTGCTGCTTGTATACCTGCGATTAAAAGTGAACAACAAATCATGGTTCCACCCATGAATTCACATCAAAGTGCACGCACTCATACAACGACCACTGCAAAGAATTTCAGCTGGTAATCGTGTGCAACAGGGTACAAGCGAAGGACTTACCGCAAGGCTAGTGCGTGCGATGGGGTGTTGCCCGATAAAGTTGGTCTTGTTGTAGTCGTTGCCTGGCGGCATGAAGAAGAAACGGTTCTCGCAACTCGCACCCGAGTTCTGCGAACCCAAAACAGGAAACACGACAACCATAACCGCGGTCAACACTCATAAGTAACCATGGGGTAACCACAACAGAATGTTATACTGTAGCTCTCCCCCCACAAACAGAGTCTCTACCACTTGCGTCCTGCGTTTCTTTTGGTACTAAAGCAAGCCTTACACAAGATTTTTCGAGAAATGGCTGACTCACCACGAACGTGCAGTCATCTGAAGAAGCAGTGATGACAAGATCGCCAGACCTGCACCAGTCCACATCACGATGAAGTTCTCAGTACAGTACATTTAGAGTCGCTTTTGAGAATTCTCAAGAGGCAGCAGTCAACATCAATCAGGTTATCAGTGCAATGGAATGATATATAAGCCTCTTATTCGTAAAGGAGCCGGGAGCACAGGACCTTCTATCGTACCTGAGAAAACATAACTATGAACTTCCTCCTTCATTCGTCTCGCTCGCTCCTTTCTTTCTTCCCCACATTGACTTTTGAGTCGACTCAAAAGTCTCATAACTATGAACTTCCCCCTCCTTTCGTCTCGCTCGTTCCTTTCTTTCTTCCCCACGTTGACTTTTGAGCCGACTCAAAAGTCACCTCATAACTATGAACTTCCCCCTCCTTTCGTCTCGCTCGTTCCTTTCTTTCTTCCCCACATTCACCTTACGCCCGTCATTGCTTCACTCATCAAGTAAGCACATAACATAACCTTCTCTTACATACTTGTGGATGATGGGGGTGCGGCTGAGCAGCTTGTTTCCAAGAAACGACACCACGCGATACTGTGGCACAGCTCCTGCACTTCCTTTCACCACGAAGTCGCAAGGCTGGATCGCGGCGGGAGGCGGCGAGGGAAGGGAGAAGGGAGAAATGGGGACCTTAGAGCTGATGCAGCACTTGCGCAACAGACCTAGGCGTTGGCAGCGTTTCTATATATTTTGAATGGAATAAGCAGGTGATTTTTTAGTCGACTCTAAAGTCACAAGGCGCTGGCGATGTCGTTGACAAAGCTTCTACATTTCCAACCAGGTCGCTGGCGCCACATTACGTTTCTCTGTAGTAAGATTAATACGAACAGGAGCTGGACGGACGCACCGCGAGAGGCCTGGAGTAGCATCGGACGCTCTGAGACGGGACCGCTTGGAGGCACATTATAAGTCCGAAGGCTGGAGAGAGGCACGATGAGAAAGCCGGGGATGTAGATTGCAAGGCTTTAGCACAGGAAATAGAAAAAGCTGGCACTATCGCTAGCACTGGACGAGTATTTGTGCCTAGCAGCAAGCAGTACGCAGCAAGCAGTACGAAGCAAGCAGTACGCAGCAAGCAGTACGCAGTAAGCAGCATGGACGTACTTAGCAGGAGCGCTGCACAAAACCCGCGAGACGCCATGGTCAGGTTGTGGTTCCTTGCGGAAGAAAGATAACTCGCAGTTCGCTAGGAGGGTAAGACGAATGCGCTTTATCTTGCAGGCTTTCTATATTAGCTTCCTCGCAAAAAATGTCTGACTGATATGTGTCACCTTGTTGATGTCTAATTCCTCTCACGTGTCTAGTTTTCTGTCATCCTGTCACTCCGTAATGTCGTCAGCCTTGGTACGTATAACCTGCAGTGTCGATCTGTCCTGTGGGTCCTGGCTGGGATGAGTCATGGGCAATGTCAATTGCATCGGACAGGCCACATCGTGCGGCCGGGGCAGGCCGCGCCGCGACATCAGGATTCACGAATCAGCCAGGGGAAACGAGCCCTGCGGTTCGTGGAACACCGCAACTCGAGCTGACACATCTTTGGCACGAAACTGAAAATCCCCGGAACTGGACTCTCCCAAAGTGTAGAGCCAGTGGCGGAATGAAGAAAAGTGCGAAGTGTTCTTGTTACGAGTGCAATTGAGTGAACGAACGAGAATTGCACTATCGAAGCAAGAATACAAATGAGCGAAGGCATGAGCGAACATTATATAGCGAAACTACAGTGGTAACGGTAATGGTCGAGCGACGAGCCTGGGACTGAGGTTGGGAAAATGTCGAAGCGTAGGTCCGGAGCGCGGGTTACCAGCCGAGCCGTGAGGTCGGGATGCGATGTGCGAAAAGGGCGGGATGATGAATGATGCGATGTTCGCGAGTGGTAACGGTGCTGAGTGAGGTGCTACAGTGATGTACGCGTTGAGCAGGGACGCGAAGTAAGGAAAAGGGAATTTCCTTACACTACCCCCCCTCCTAAGGAGGTCCTCCTTATGAAAGCGCGTGGATGTCTCGGAAATTGCGGCTACGCAGGTAGTCGGTGACGACGGGGTGATTTTCAACTTTCTCCAGGGGAACCCAATTGTCCTCGGTGGGGGTACGATCTTTCCAGCGGATCAGAAACTCCACTTTTCGGGCTCCTCGAGGGTCGCGAACTCTGTGGCTCAGGATCTTGTCGGGGGTGATGACTGGTTCGGTTGGTGGTCGTGTCATGCTGGTGGGTCGATGTCGTGGGAGTTGGCTGGTGGATGGCACGTAAGGGCGGAGTAAGCTGACGTGGAACGAGGGGCTGACGTACCAGTCAGCAGGGAGGAGGAGGTGCGCGGTGACTGGTGTGACCATGTGACTGATTCGAAATGGCCCACAGTATCGAGGGCGGAGTTTTGGAGTGATGGGCAGGCGGAGGTTCTGAGTGTCGAGTAAAACGAGGTCGTCGGGCTGATAAGTAACGGGTCTGCGATGGCGATCGGCGTTGCGTTTGTCAGATATATATGACATAGCTGTTGTAGGCTGTAGTGGGGTAGCACATATGGGGTACAGCTCTCTAGGGTTTGCATTTGTACCCAACTTTCACTTAGTCATTTCATTCCTGTTCTAGTATTCTCACATGGTATAGAGCGGGTTCCCTATGGGAACTTCGCCTAGGGCCCACCGAAGCGCGCCCCGAGGCGCGCTAACCTTTTTTTTTTCTCTCTCTCTCGAGCGACCCTCCGTATCGCCCTTCCCTCGCGGCCCCGCTGCCCTTTCAGACGCGGCCTCGCCCCTCCTTATCGAACGCGGCCCCGCCGCCATTTCAGACGCGGCCCCGCCGCCCACTTCGGACGCGGCCCCGCCCGCCCCTTCAGACGCGGCCCCGCCGCCCGCTCCGACGCGGCCCCGCTGCCTGCTCAGACGCGGCCCCGCAGCCTGCTCAGACGCGGCCCCGCCGCCTACTCAGCCGCGGCCCCGCTGCTGGCTCCGACGCGGCCCCCCCGCCCACTCGGACGCGGCCCCGCCGCCTGCTCAGCCGCGGCCCCGCCGCCCGCTACGAAGCGGCCCCGCCGCCTGCTCTGACGCGGCCCCGCCGCCTCCTCAGCCGCGGCCCCGTCGCCCACTCAGGCGCAGCCCCGCCGCCTGCTGAGCCGCGGCCCCGCCGCCCTCCCCTCCGACGCGGCCCCGCCGCCTACTCAGACGCGGCCCCGCCGCCCGTTCCGACGCGGCCCCGCCGCCTTCACTCGCGGCCACCCCGCCCTTGCGCGGCCCCGCCGCCTCCTACCTGCGGCTCTACGGCCGCCTCTGCTGCGGCCCTTCGCCGTCCCTGCAACCCGGCCCCGCCGCCCCCCTTCCTCTCGCGCCGCCCAACTGCGGCAGCCGAGCCGCCAGCCTGCAGCAGCCGAGCCGCCCACCTGCAGCAGCCGAGCCACTCACCTACAGCAGCCGAGCCGCCGGACCACCTAGCAGTAGTGCACCCGAGCCGCCCTGCACCCGAGCCGCCCTGCACCCGAGCCGCTCTATCGCCGAGCCGCCCGGGAGCCGAGCCGCCCAGTAGCCGAGTCGCTGAGTCGCCGAGCCGCCCTTCTGCAGAGCTGCCCGACCTGCCCTGCCCGGTGAGCACAGTACCGCTGTCACTGCGTGCTCTTCCCCTACTGCGTGCACTGCTTCGCTGTCGTCGTCATGGCTACCCCTAGTGTCCTAGCTTTTGACGCTGAGGGTCGCGCCATCGACTTTGAGGTCTGGGTAGACGACCTGCAGTTGTTTTTACAGTGCGATAGGGCAGACGGCCTCTCTCTCTTTGACCTCACTTCTGGCGCCTCTCCTGCCCCTGCTACTGATGCTGATCCCACTGTGCGCTCTCAGTGGGCCACCCGCGATGCTGCTGCACGTCTTGCTGTGCGTCGCCACCTCCCTACCTCTGAGCGCGCGCACTTTAGTCAGTACAAGAGTGCTCAGACCTTGTACGACGCTGTAGTTGCGCGCTACTCCTCCCCTGCCACTGCTGCACTGAGCCGTCTCATGCTTCCCTACCTCTTTCCTGACCTCTCTGCCTTTCCCACTGTTGCTGACCTCATTACGCACCTCCGCACTAGTGACACTCGCTACCGCGCCGCCCTTCCTGCTGAGTTCTGCGCTAAGAACCACCCCCCCCATGTACATCACTCTCTACTACGTAGTCGCGCGCCTCCCTGACTCCCTTCGCGTAGTCAAGGACCACTTTCTCGCAGTCTGTCCCACCACCCTCACCGTCGACGTCCTCGAGAAGGCCCTCCTCGCGGCGGAGAAGAGCATCGTCGCTGTAGGAGCTTCTCGTGGTGACCCTCGCACCCCCATCTTTGAGGGGTGCTCTCCTTCCCCCCTCCTGCCCTCTGTTGCCTCTGCTGCTGCTGCCGACCTGCTTGGTCTCGAGTCGGTTGGCGCGGCGTCTGCCCCTAGTGGGAGACGCCGCTCTGGCAAGGGCAAGGGGGGCAAGGGCGCTGGTGGAGCTGGAGGGAACGGTGGAGGTGGCGGTGGAGGCGGCGGAGGGAGTGGGGGTGGCGGCGGGAGTGGTGGCGGGGGTGGTGGTGGTAGTGGTGGCAGCGGCGGAGGAGGCGGCGGTGGTGGCGGCGGCGGTGGTGGTGGCGGCAGTGGTGGCGGTGACGGTGGGGGAGGCGGTGGCGGAGGAGGCGGTGGTGGCGTAGGAGGTGGAGCTGGTCGAGGCGGTACCCAGCAGCGGAGCGGCGGTGGTGGTGGTCAGCGCTTGCAGCAGCAGCAGCAGCAGCGTTCGCATGACGTCCCTCCGCCCCAGCAGCTCCGTGAGTGGTACGCTCGGCGTCAGAGGGGTGGGGGTACTGGTCCTTGTACCTACGTCCTTCGCTCTGGCGACCGCGGGGGTGAGCAGTGTGGGGGTGCCCACTCCACCCAGCGCTGCTTTGGCCGCCTGACGGACGCTTGGCGTCAGCAGTTCCCCGGGGCTAGTGAGATCCCTCGCTGGGATGAGCTTCTTAGAGCTGGTGTAGCGATCTTTGATCTTGATTTTGATGCTATCCTTGCTGCTATGTATACTGTGACTATTAGTGAGGAAGGTGACTGTTACTGGTGTTTCCCGCCTGACCCAGGCATTGGTACTGCTGCGCTAGGTGCTTGTGAGGCTGCTGCTCTAGGTGCCAGTGCGTCTGTGCTCTCAGGTGCTGGTGAGACTACGCTCTCAGGTACTGCGTTGCCTCCGTCCTCCCTCACTTTCACACTTGACTCCGGGGCTTCTCGCTCCTTCTTTCGAGACCGCACTACCCTCACGCCGCTTGACCGGCCCGTTGCGGTCTCCCTGGCTGATCCCTCTGGGGGTCCTATCCTCTCTCACTTCTCCACTGTCCTCCCGTGTCCGGCTGCCCCTTCGGGCACCCTGTCTGGTCTGTACCTTCCCTCGTTCTCTACGAACTTGGTGAGTGGCGCGGACCTGCAGGATGTGGGGGTTCACCAGTTCACTCCTGCGAGTCAGCGGGTGACCCACTGCACGGAGGCACGCACAGGCCGACACCTGGCCACGTTCTCGCGTCGGCCGGGGTCGAGTCTCTACACCCTGACCGTTGAGTCTCCTCCTGTCCCTGCGTCTGGTCAGGTAGCTGCGTCAGGTCAGGTCCTTGCTGCTGCGTCCCGGTCTGGTCCTGAGTCTGCCCCCTGCAGACGCTTCACATGGACGTGTGGGGCCCAGCCCCCGTCTGTGGGCAGGGTCACGAGCGCTACTTTCTGTTGGTGGTTGACGACTACTCGCGTTACACCACAGTCCTCCCCTTGCGCAGCAAGGGTGCTGTCACTGAGGTGCTGATCGACTGGATCCGCGAGGCTCGTCTCCAGCTCAGGAAGAGCTTCGGCTCGGACTTTCGTGTTCTGCGTCTGCACTCGGACAGAGGCGGAGAGTTCTCCTCGCGCCTTCTGCGAGACTACTGTCGTGCACGGGGGATCCGCCAGACCTTCACGCTTCCGGACTCTCCACAGCAAAATGGGATTGCTGAGCGCCGCATTGGCATGGTCATGGATGTCGCTCGTACGTCCATGATGCATGCGGTTGCCCCCCATTTTCTGTGGCCGTTTGCGGTTCGGTACGCGGCGCATCAGCTCAACCTTCACCCCCGGGTCTCTCGGCCCGCGATGTCCCCAGTCTTGCTGTGGACGGGGAAGGTTGGCGATGCGTCGGCGTTT